ATAAAAGGAGGACCTTGCCCATAGAGAAGGGGGGGTTTTTTGATTCTTTTCCAGATTGAGAGCATAGGACGGGGGAGAAGTCAGCTCACACTTGTAGCTCATTCATACACAGATCCACCAAAACACAGGAGTAGGGTATTACGCTTCTCAGCGGCCCGAACCTGTCTAGATCGCCGGTGTCTCGTGTTTCTTGCTGACAGACGATCTTTCCACATACAGAGAGAGAGAGAGAGCTTGAGATTTCACCCTAAGCCCCCGGCCGAACTGGCAAAGGGGGGCCTGCGCGGTCTCCCGGTGAGGAGCCACGAGCTCCGTCAGATGTAGTAATATTTTCGAACGAAGGTAGTATGTTCAAGTGAGCGACCGATTAAACATTTTTGTTGCACACAAAACGAGATGAGTAATTGAAGTGTAATTAATTAAATTTTAATTATTATTATTATTATTATTATTATTATTATTATTATTACAAACTTAAAAAATAGATTTATTTGTTTCTTAAAGAAACTTTAATAAAAAAGTTTTCGTAAAATATATCATTTCATAGTTCGAAAAGTGTGTTCACCATAAACAAAGAACAAGAAAGTTGCTCCCTCTAGTAGCATATTGAACTCAGCTTTAAGGATTTTGTGTGACAAAAAAGAGACAAGTCATTAGCGTCTAACTAATTGAGTATTGAATAGTATTGTAAACTTAAAAATAGGTTTATTTAATTGTATTTTAAAGAATTTTCTATAAAAGTTTCTTTTAAAGAAATGTATCTTTAGTAGTTTAGAAAGCGTGCTCATGGCAAATGATGAAGTTACAAAAGCCAACCTCCCTACCAAACTCAGCCTTAGATGTGGTTATGAAATTTTGTTTTGACTATTTGTTCGATAGGCCCTCAACATAAGTAGGATTTTACGACCGGGTATTTACTCAGCAATCATAGATAAAAATTACCATAAAAAATAAATTAATGTCACAATAAATGAATTGTTAAAAAAAAGAATGAAGCATTGGACCCAATTATGTAACCTATATTGAATTATTTTTAGAAATTTTTGGGTATTCACGTTAATCTCCAGGAGCATCCATGTGTCCCCCTTTGCTAACTTCTTGTCTTCTTTAAAAAAAATAGAAATGAATGGATGAATGTGCACCTATAAACTATGGTTTATGATTTATAGAACATTAATTTTGATGGCTTGATCAATGTTAGACACATTAGATTATTAGCTCATACGACTATGGTCAACCGAGTCACACTTCTTCCAAACCTCCACTAGCCAGCACACCTCTTTATACATGTTTCATAATAATATTAGGCATCCAAATCTCTCTTTGGGAATCCATTGAGCCTATATGCATGGCTAGCCCATTTATCGACTTTCAAATCCTTTTTCCGTTAGAAGAATGAACAAGAATCGTCCTGATTTTTCTAATAGAGCCAGTGGTCCAATTTTTCCCAATCCGGTACTATATTTCATTGTGCATGCCTCATTCATCCACCAGCCAACCTTCCTATAGTGCTTGAATCAAGACTACTCTACTCTAGATCAGTATGCATGTTAGGTTTAAGTAGCTTCATCCTGTTTCTTTGTTCATTTTTGCCGATTGATTTGGACACTGATACTATTTATTGTCTACTCACAAAAAAAGTGTGTTAGAAAACAAAATCAAAATGTTTACATAATTACTATCCCAATATATACCAGCATAGCAAGAAAGATCTCATGTACTGAAAAAACATACCTTGTAACTAGTCGATACTCCCTTTAGGTTTAATTTGAAGTTTGGGGTTGATTCATTACTGCATTTGGTATTAAGATGTTGAAAGCTTTTATGCTTTTTAGTGATTATTGGAAATGGAGGTGGTTTTTTTTTTTATTTTGTACTCTTATCATACATACATTTTATGCAAATGTCACTTAGTTAGGTGTGTGACTATGAAACGTGATAATTGATGTTCATATGAGTGAAAAACCACTTATCCTATCAATAAGACCACCATAAAATATGGTTTAGGGTGTTATACTCTCAATTTTGAAAATTGGAGTTTCGAGTTCAGAGTGAGATAAACTTCGAGCAAAGTTCAAGGGACAAAAGGTACTTCCCTGAATCCATGGATTAATGGTAATAACATGAGTTCCCTAACAATAATGTGCAATACTTAGGCTATGTTCGGAGCTATGCCATACCTCTCGGCACGTAAAACGATGGGATGGATTAACACATAATTAATTACATATTAGCTAAAGAAACTTGAAAAATAAATTAGTATGATTTTTTAAACAACTTTCTTATAGAAAATTTTAAAAAACACATAGTTTGGCAGTTTGTGAAGGAGGCGCATGAAAAACTGAGAGTAAAGGAGTTGGCAACATGGATATAAGAACATGTCTCATTAAGTGCTTAAAAGTACACATGCATTACCAACAGAAGGTCTGAGAGAGAGCTTTGTAGTTGCGGTCTTAGGCTGGTTTGGTTTGTAGCCTACAATGGCCTTACCAATGTTGGGCCATAAAAAATAGTATAAAGTAAAGTTTTGGTTTGGATCCAAACGTCGGCTTGGTCTATGAAAAGAATTGGTCACACCATTGACCATCCAAAATGTGCTTATGGCCATAATTTTGTAAGGCTCTTTTAGGCCTCAAACCAAACCAGCCTTTAGGGGCATGTTCAAAGGTAGAGCCCGATACGGTCTCTTAGTTGGAGCTGAAAGACACTCCCATACAAGGCTACAAAAGGATTACCTTTTAAGTTGACTCTTCATTAATACATGGTAATTAGTGAATAACTTTTGTTTTTATTCTTTGTACAAAGTGGCAAAAGAATCCGGAAGGGCAATATACACACATTCACGGTGCATTAAGCAAGCAATTCATCAAGCATATACGGATTTTTTCTGTGTTGATACGGATTGCACACGCGGTTTTCTTTTCCTTTGTTGATATGTTGGGGGAAAGATTGATGTGGAGAAAACTCTAGGACTTGTGGTGGATTCCCGCCGTTGTGATATTCCTACGCCCAAAAATCACAAAGGAAATTGCATGGGAACCTCAAACTGCAGGTCTCATTGGAGGAGAAGAGTGGTGCAACGAGATGAGACTCTCGTCTCCTTCGTGTTTTGCTCGCTCTAGGAAGTTGTTGAGCCGATGTCACAGCAAAGAACGATTTTTCATTTTCTATCCTCTCTTTTTTTCAACCCATCAAATTTGCTTATGTGGCAATTGAGAGAGTCTACTAATAAATACCATTGTACGTACCCTTTAAAACCAAAAAAAAAAAAAAAACTGGGCAATTGCCCGTAGGAAGCTAGCAGTGGGTGAATGCTTGCTTGCTGTGGGCCGTTCGTCTGGGTAGACAATGGGGGGACACGTAGTACTTTTGGATGGAATCCTTGTCTGCTTTTGTCAATCGTGGGATATCACTGGGCCCACACGCAGCGCCACGTCGGACTGGAGTATCCACGTGGATACCTTTTTCCTGTGCGTGGTGGTCCCACGTGCGGAACCTGATCGGAAAAGGCGGTACCAAATGAAAGGCTACGGGTGATCACACGGCCTATCAAGATCGTGGTACTCTACTTCGACACGCAAATCATTTGCAGCATTATTCTTTAATAACAAAATCTTCATTTCTATTATGAGTTTTTTCTATAAGGAAAAGAACGCTGCCACGTTGGGCTGCATCTTGAATTCAGTTCGTGATAAAAAAGAAACAAAGTCTATCAAGCAAATTAAGGATCAGAAGCCTCAGCTATATGGTGACAAAGTTAATGGTGCATGATTTCATCTATTATAATTTTAAATTCTGATGTTTATGAATATCAAGCACATGAAAGTAACTACTAGTAAATACGAAATAAATGTGTATTCCTTATCTTATCTTGATTTGGTCTTTTTATTTTGTTGGGTGTGTTTAATTCTATTTGAACTACACTCTTTGTTAGAGTGATACTTTATAATAATTGGTTGTAACCCTGTTGAGTAAAGATCGAGATGTTTATTCCATTATCTTAAAAAAACTAGTAAATACAGATTTAATAGGATAATGATTTCTCCTTTTAAACTTGTCTTAGAGGCACATTTCTAGGCACGTGAGTGTTATGTAATGGTTCTGTGTTATAAAAATGGAGAAGTAAGGATGGGAAGAGAGATATATAATGGGGAGCTTACATGTAGTTGCAACTGGTTGGGCGAAGAAAAGAAGAGTTTAACGGATGGCATGGAGTCGGTGTACGTGGAGCAGCTGGAACTATTGGTGAATCATGGTGATGATTTGCTCATAATCGAGCTACATAGGTCGGCACATAGAAATAAAATTAAATGAACTAAAAGCACACGAGCGACAGAGAAGAGAGGCTGTGAGGCTGCCAGGTCCCCTAGCTGCTTGTGCATCGACTAAATTATGTTGATCATATCACTCTCTACTCGCGTTCCTCGAAAAAGAAAAAGAAAGTATGTCTATATATATACATCTGTGTATATTTTTGTTTGTTACTCCCTCCGTCTCATAATATAAGAGATTTTGACATTTTACTTGCACTATTTGACCACTCGTCTTATTAAAAAAATTGTACAAATATAAAAAACAAAAAGTTATGCTTAAAATACTTTAGATAATAAAGTAAGTCATAAATAAAATAAATAATAATTTTAAATTTTTTTAAATAAGATGAATGGTTAAACGGTGTAAGAAAAAAAAAATCAAACTCGCTTGGGGACGGTGGGAGTATAAGTTTGACGATTGGTCGTCGTATTCAAAGCTGCTGCCGATCAATTAACGTGCTGGACTGCTGGTGCTTGGTGCCTGGCCGCGGCCCACGGGGTGGGCCGATCGAGAGAGGGGGCCAGGGACGTTTAGGACTTGAGTTCGACAAGTGGACCGTGGCTGGAGGAGGCCGAGTCGAAAGAGGACTTTCTGTTTTGGGCCGGGCTAAATTCTGGTTCATGCCAACCCGACTCAGAAAAGAAGCCGATCGGCTGGCTATTCTAGCCTTCTAGGGTTGGTGATCTGCTTCTCCTAAAAAATCCCCAATACCGCCGCTCCGCTCGAACAAAAAAACAACTCTAAAACCAAGCCAAGCCGGATAGAAGGGGATTTGAGTAGGACACATCTGAGGAGTATTAAGCGAGGAGGAGTAGGAGGCATCGGATTTGAGGATTAACTATGGCGAGTTCGCCGGACAAAGGTAAAGAGCCAACCATGGATCCGCCGTCCTCGGGCTCCGTGTCAGCGGAGAATAAGAAGGGCAACAGCAGCAGGGGAAAAGGGAAGAAGGCTGCAGCGGCGGCGCCGGTGGCCGCTGATTCCTCATCGACGGCGGCTGCGGCTGCCGGTGCCGGAGACGAGGTGAATAGGACGGCGACGGTGAGGATGTCGCAGCCGCAGATCGACCTGTTCATGTCGTTCGACCCTCCCCCGCTGGAGCCCGTGACGGGCGTCTCCAAGGAGGAGGAGGATCGCTTCGCGAAGATCGACGCGCAGCTGGCCAAGTGGGAGAAGGAGATCCGCGCGGACGCGGAGATGGTGAAGAGCCAGTACGAGCAGAAAGGCTACGTCGAATACGAGATCGATGCCGATCTGTTTCCTGCTAGGGCTCCACCTCGCCCTGGCCGCAGGAGGGCTCGCCATGGCGTTATGGCGAAGAAGAAGCCGCAGGGAGGAGGAGGAGCAACAGCAAAATGAAATCAATAATATTAGTACTTATTATTACTTAGGCCCAGTTCGTTATGTTAGCTGTGGTAGATATTTTCAGTGCACACAAAACGAAGAAAATTTATTAGTATATGATAAATTAAGTATTAGTTATTATAAAATAAAAATAGATTTATTTGATTTTTTAAACAACTTCTATGTAGAAACTTTTTGTCAAAAACACACCACAGTTTGAAAAACAAGAAAGTTGAAGTTTGGAGTTGAGAAAAAGACTAGGCCTTACATATCATCTTTCTCATGTCATTCTAAGATTTTTGATGTCTTGTGTTCCATAGTGTATTTCTTAAGAAAAGTTGTCACAACGCAAATTTGATTTTTGGAGGCTTTCATAATTTCATAGGTAACAAAGTTGGATTAAAAATTCTTGGAAAAAGTACGAATTACCCCCTCAAACTATCACGGTCGACCAAATTACCCCCCTAACCACAAAACCGGAGGACTTACCCTCCTCGACCCAAATGACTAAGCATTCTATTTATAAAAAAAATGGGGGACCCACCTGTCATACTCTTCCACTCTTCCTCTCTCTTACTCTTTCTCTTTCTCACGGGCAGCAGGCGGGGGATGAGGGTGACACGGAGGCGGCGGTGGGGGAGGGGGGATAAGGAGGCAGCCACCAACGACCGCGAGGCAGAGGAGGTGGAGGCGGATGCGAGGCCCACGAAGATGGAGGCGGAAGCGGCCGCCGCCGGCACGTGGCGGCCCCCACGGCCTCGGCTAGCGCGGCCTCGCAAGAGTCGAACGTCGCTACGGCGAAAGAGGAGCGGTAGGAGAGGTCACACAATGTGGACGCGAGGCGGGAGAGGTCGCGGTCCGAGCGGCGGTGGAGCGCGGCATGGGCCTCGGCGAGGAGCTGCTTGAGCGCCAGGAGCACCTCACGGAAACACCCGTGCGCGTTGATAGAGGGAGAGGGGGAGGGGGGGAGCCGCGCCGAGCAATACGTGACAGCAGCAGAGTAGCCCTACTATTCGCTTCTTCCCTTCCTCAATTCGCCACTCTGCAGGTGCCCGACGATGTAGCCGCCGTGGGGAATAACAGGCTGCCGCAGTGGGTACCCGGGAGGCCCGTCTCCGCCTTCGTGCCCGGCGCCGACGCCGCTTCCTCCCCCTGCGCCCTGTTTGCTCTGCCCCCGCAGGCTGCTGCGTCTCCTGCGGCATTTTTTAACCGCGGTGTTTTTTTTTTTAGAAAAATCTTGACCATTGTTTCATGATGATGGTGGAACATTGGTCTTCACTAGCAAAAACCGAACCAGTAAAACTAATCTTACAGGTCCTACAAGTCAAAAACTTGGGACAATGGAAAAAAAATGCATCGCTAGCATTTGAATAGAAAAGGAAAAGTACGAATTACCCCCTCAACAATTACGGTCATCTGATTTTTAACTCTGAACTCCAGTACCAGTTATTTTTAAAACTAAACTTTACAAACCGGATGAATTACCCCTAAATCGATCTAGGGTGGTTTTGGTCCTACGTGGACACACACATGGTATTCTAGTCAGCCAAAATAAAAGAAAATATATGGGACCCAGTTGTCAGCCACAAGAAATAAACATGCTGAGGCTCACTTGTCAGCCCAATCCCTCTTCTTCTCCCTTCCTCTTCGCCTATCCCCCTCTCTCTCCATCTTAGGTGCACCGAGGCAAGCAATGGAGCTAGCTAAGGCAAATAGCAGAGGCGAGCAGTGCTTAGGTCATGGAGCTCGCCGTCGATCTTGCCGCCTCCACGACAAACTTGAAGCCACCTGTGCCGCCTCCTTCATGAGTTTGCCGTTGCATGGCACCAGGCTGCGGAGGCCGAGGACGAGCGGCGCGTCGGTTGCTGCGAGCCTCCTCACACCGGTGGCCGAGATGAGGCGTGCGCTGGTGGTGGCCGGTCTATCAAGCTCACTAGCCAGGCCTCGTCCTCCTGAGGCCCCCCTCTCCTCCTAGGGATTCTTGTATTTATACCCACAGATGTCCCTTTGTCCAAGTAGAACTAGTGAAACAAGTATGGATACAATCCGAGTAGTCATTGTAGTTTCCAACTTGAACTCTGCTTCTCCTTCCGTATCCGAAACACCTTCTATATGCGAGGTATGATTTCGTACAAATCGATTTGGTATATGGTGGGTCTCGTCGAGCCCAATCCGAGATCATTGGGTATGCCTTATCCATGATATTGACAATCTTCAACTGCAAGTTCATTGGGGATGCTTTCCCATTCCTTGTCTTGAGGAGGATGTAGAGTATGGAGTCGACAAGGACACGATGACATTGTTCTCAGCAGCCGAGGTATTGTTCAAGTCCAACGAGGATAAGATATGTGCGCAGATGAATATCACTTTATTAATTAAGGTTCATGGGTTAATCTCTATTGATTCATTCTTAATTAAGGTTCATGGGTTAATAATTTCGAACTTGTGACATTCTAAACCACACAAAATACCTTCAAATATCGGAACATCACAAAAAAAATTCCACATCTTTAAATTTTAATAAATGCAAACCGGGTTTTATTGTGTATATATTGATGTTTTCAAATCTTATTTGAAATTTTGCTTTCATTGGTTTGGTCTCTGATTAAGTACAGTTCAAATTGGATTCAAAAATCTAACATTTAGAATTTGGTATTTAATTGGTATATTATATTTGAAATCACAACATAATTAAAAAATATTTTTACTAATTACTCCACTTACCTTATTAAAATCATTACTTTTAGTGGCAAAAGCAAAAAAAAAATCATTACTTTTGTTATTATGAGGTCTTACCTCTAGCAAAGGTATTAGATTATACTACATGGAGTATAAACTATTGGATCAAGTTCTAATGGGTGGTCCAAATAAACTTTCTGAGAACCTTCACTAAGGGAGAAAGGGGCTTTAGTCCCGGTTGGGAACCCCTCTATACTCCCGGTTATACAACTGGGAGGTGAAATAACTGGGATAAAAATCTGTTTTTAGTCACGGTTGGTAACATACCAACTGTTACCAACCGGGACTAAAAATAGAGCCAGGCTAGGTCCAGTTGCTCCTTTTCTTTTCTTTTTTTCATTGTTTTTAACATTGAATATTTGATTTCACGCCGCCGGCCGCCTCCTTCCGCCCGCTCTCGCGCCGTCCGCCGGCCTCAACTCGCTCACTCTCACGCTCGATCTTTTGTTTTGAGAATAGGAAGGAGAGGATAAGGATAAGTGGAGGAATAGGAAGGAGAGGATAAGGATAAGAGAGAGGAATAGGAAGATGAGGAATTTGGGAGGATAAGTCGTAGGGATTATATACTGGGACTAAAAATGTCTGGCCCTCTGACAGCCTCGGATAGAAAATGAACCGGGAGTAAAGATCATCTTTAGTCCAAAAATGCCCAGCCCCCTGACAGCCTCGGACAAAACAAAGAACCGGGAGTAAAAATCATCTTTAGTCACGGTTGGTGTTCACTTAGGGCCGATAAAGTTTTAAACCGGGATAAAAAATCATCTTTAGTTCCGGTTTATATTCAAACTGGGATTATTGTGGATTTTGTCCAACCCAACAAAAATGGTTTCTCCAGTAGTGCTTAAAATAAAAATCCCCACGAGTTACATGGATGCTCATACATATGATCCTAGTCTTCTCGGCTACAGATATTCATACGGGTTTTTCCTTCTCAGTCACTCTTCCGTCGCAGGGATCCAGCAGCCATGGAAGCCGTAGGGCAATCCGTAGGGGAACCTGACGCGCGCAATCTCCTCAAACGTGGTCGCGTCTAGCACCAGTGCGTACCCTTCGCCATCGTCGGAGCTTACAATAGATATCACCACTCCTGCATGCAGAGATCAAGCCGCATACATGACGATGCCTTGTTACGTACGGAGTAACAAATTTAGCCAAAGTTTTAACACAAACTAATTTGGAACTGGCTGGCTATATATAAATTTTCTTCTAAAAATTTATTAGAAGGGTACGCATTAATTACAAATATAGTTACAATAATATTATATTATATTTGTATTTGGCAAATTTTTATCTATAAATATATAGCAAAATCGAATTAAGAAAGCTCACCATCGTCTTCGTCGGTGGCTCCCGGCCTCGCGACGAAGAAAGGCTCGGACGGCACGGAGCCCTCCTCGTGCCAGCTCTTGGCCTTCTTCTCCACCAGGTCGATCTTGGTGAGCGTGTTGGGGAAGTTGCACGGGCGACGCGCGCCGCACGCGTAGGCATACTGGTACTTCCTGCCGAGGCGCGCCGGGTTGATGCTGCACATGTCCATCCCCCGCCCGTGCTCCTCCGGGTCCAGCGCCGTCTCAAGTTCGCCGAACGGGCTCCCATCCAGCGGGATCCTGAACCGCCCCACCCTGCCATCACCAAGTGTTTTGTGTTAATCTTTTCGATGTAGTGGAGTGTTTGAGAGGAGACCGGGAAAAAGAATAAAATTAAAAAGATATGCAAAATAAGTTGAGCGCCATTAGCATATAATTAATTAGTGTTAATTATTTTAAACCTAAAAAACCATATTAATATGAATTTTAAAACAAATTTTCTATAGAATTTTTTTTTATAAAAAGGATACCGTTTATGACTTTATTCAGGAAGTTTGTACGACCTTACGTGACGTTTTGTGATTTTTGTTGGTCAAGTAGTCAAGTCACAATCTATCAGCAGGTGTGCAGCATCATGTACACCACGTACCTGGCGTTAGGTAAAACGTCCTTGCCCCTTAACAATCTCAGTCTACTGAGGACGAGTGTCTCGATGATGGCAGGGTCACCGTAGTGCTCACAGCAGTCGACAACGACGGCGGCCTCGTCGCCTTCCTCCTCGTATGCGTTGATGAAGTGGATCGCCATGAAAGGAGGCACCTCCACGCTCGCCACCTTAATTCGGCCACAAGAAATCAAACCAAAAAAACAGAACATCTGCAGGCCACAAAATCAAGATCTTTGCAGCTTAACTAATTACGTACGGTCTTGCCGGTGGACTTGCACATGACGTGCATGTAGCTGCCGGACGCCGGGACCCAGTCGAAGGCGTAGAACGGGGCGAGCTCGGAGGCGAGCAGGCTGGCGGAGGAGTACCGGAGCGGCATCTCCGGCACGACGGCGTACTTCTCCGTGACGGCGAACGAGTGCAGCCACCCGGGCGACGGCCCGCCGCGGCAGTCCATTCTCCCGATCACCTTCCTCTCGTTGCTCCCGGCCTCCATCCTCACGACGAGGTGGCCCGGACGGACGAGGTCCGGCAGCAGCGTCAGGAACTCCGTGTCGGTCACGATCGGGTGCGCCGACTGCACCATGCCACCCAGCCTGTCCGTGTACCGGAACCTGCCCACCGTCTCGAGCGTGTCCGGGTCGATGAGGACGGAGCTCTTGGTGGTCTCGGTGAGGCACATCACCCGGCCGTCGCCGAGCGGCAGCACGGCGCTGTTGGGGTTGTCGGTGAGCGCGGCGCCGGTGACGAGGCCGACGAGATCGCCGAAGCGGTGGAGCAGGCTCTTGGCCGGCGCGGGGCAGTGGGAGAACTCGCGGAGGACCGGGCGGCCGCGCGCCACGGCGGCCCTGTACGCCTCCGACTCGATCTGCCGGTGCGCCCCCGTGGCGCGCGCACCACCCCCGCCGCGGAAGGAGACGCGGACGAGCGTCGCGTAGCCGTCGAACAGGTGGTGGAACGCGTGCTCCCCGACGTCCCACATCCCCGGCCCGTTCCTGATGTACGTGCCATTCTGCACAGCGCAATCACACGTACGCATCGATCAACACGTACGTACGTACAGATCGGTGGAAACATTAATTAGCACGCATGCACGTAGTACGTACCAGCCAAGGAGGGAGGCATCCCTCGATGGGCAGGTCGCCTTCCCAGCGTTCTTGGCGGACGCTGGTCGAGGCAGACAGCTTCGTCGTCGTGGCGCCGCTGTCTCCTGATCCTGCAGGTTCCTGATCCGATTGCAGCGTGGTTGCCCTCACGGCGCGGCGACGTGCTGCAGTCGCGTTGCTGCAACGAGGCGGCAGCCGTGGAGCGAGTGCGAAGGACGAGGATGATCTAGGAGCCGTGCATGGTGTGGCGATCAGGGTCAGGGAGGTCGCCATGATGCCTGTGCACGAATGGCGGCTGCACCGCTGCTCGATCGGCTGCTTTACTTTTATGGCCGGGTCTGTGCTTACCCAAAAGGCCAAAATAGTGGGGGAGTAGCCAGGAGCCTAGGACACGATACCTTAACAGCACGTTTGATATTATTTGTCGACTGCTAGCTCTAAAATGTATCATATCAGTTCACATTAATAGTTTGTCGGATGCGCATACTACATGTGAAACGAATCCTACTGGCAGTGCCGTTTGTCTCGACATGGCTGCTAAGCTCACTGGTCGGCATAGTAAAAAAAAAAACCGGACCGGAGATCGAACCGGTCAAGTTGCTGGTTCACCGGTTCACTGGTCCAACCGCCGGGTCACCGGTCGAACCGCCGGTTTTTTATTTATTAATATAATATTTGTTTTGCATTATTTTTTATACAGAAAGTCAGAAACACCAGATATTGTTGAATATACATATGTAAAAATAAATGTTAAAAATACCACCAATATATCTAAGATGACAGGAAGTCAGGAACATCACAGCATCACAAAAACATAATAATAGATTCATAACATTAATAAATCCATAATACCGTATCATGGGTATTAGTGCCCAACAAAGTGACAGACTAATAGCTTAACAAATCTAATGGAGTGTAAAACAAATCAGCAGCCAATAAAGTTCATCGTTATGCAATACCAATTTTAGACTAGATTGGGTGATCAACAGAACAAATCAAACATCTGTAGCTAGGCTAACTACTAACTAGCACTCCAACAGATCTGGTGCAAGCTAGTCAACCACACATGCACGTACCTTTCTTGGGGGTAGAACAAGAAGCAGCTAGATGTGCCCTTCAACCTTGCCACCTGCTTGCTCTGCTATCGACGTGACGCCGCGAGCCCGCGACGGCCGTCGGCACCTCGCGAGGTGGCGGTCAGCGGCGGCGACGATGGTGGTGGCCGGCGGCGGCGGCGCGATGCACGGCACCGAGCAAAACTTGAGCAGCACTGAGCTGGGGTAGGTCTTAGCTTGAGCTTAGAGAAACTGAGAATGTGAGAGGTCGAGTGGATCTGGATGATGACGGTCCAAATTTCTACAGGAAGTCAAAAACCCTAGAGATGGCATGTCCATTTTCCAATATTACCCCTGAGCTCACAGTACCAAGGCAAGCAAAATGAGGGGTATTGTGTGTCCAAACACAGAACCGCCCGGTTCTACAAAACCGCACCGGTTCAGCGGTCCATGAAAAAACCGCCCGGTTCGTCCGGTTTTTTCTGGTTCGACTACGGGGACGGTCTTTGAGCTGAACCGAGCCGTCAAGGTCGCTGGTTCCGGTTTTTTCCGGTTCAACCGCCGGTCCGGTCCGGTTTTTTGTACTATGTGGTCGGTGGTTACCCACCCCCTCCCTCCCTCTCCCAGTCTTCCTCTTCCAATCTTCTCCTCGATCAAATCTGTCGGCCTCTGGAGCTCCGACCCAAATGCAAAGTCGTTGTTACTGCGGCCTCTCCTCTACTTTCTCTCCCCTCTTCCCCTCCTTGGTGACGAGCACCGCTATGTCTCATACTACAAGCAACCTTCAACGTAACCATCCGCACGGGCCACCGTGAGGTCGCCATCACGTCATTGTTGCGCCGTCTCCATCCCCACCACCCCATCGAGCTTGCTGGATTTGGCCTCAAGCTCCCCAGATCCAGCCTCAAGGTCTCACGTACTCCTCACCACTAAAGGCAACAAATGGAGCAGATTAGGGCAGCGGCAGTCGAGGAAGCAAATCTCCAAGCTCAACACAAGATCCAACTGCACAGGAGACAGGTGGGGTAGACCGAGGAAGGTACCCCTCGTGAGCTCGCCGTCATCCTTGTCTTGGAGCGGCCGTTGCAGCCGTTGATGGAAGTAGGCCACTCGGCCCAACGGTAGGCCCCTCTTTTGCCCCCATCGTGCTTGTCTCTTCCCCAATCCTGTCTGTTGTCTTCTTTGACATCTAGCCACCAGAGCTCCGATGGATGGCGATGTATGTGGGTGGGGTGAGAGGGGGAGGGGGAAGAGGAGGGAGACCGTGGTGGAGGCATGGGCTCACCCAACATGTGCTTTTGTAAGCACGAGGAGTCTCATCCGACGAGGCACACGTACCCTAAAAGGGCACGGGCGGCTTTGCAGAGGCATTGCAGAGGCTAGGCCCGGCTCTGGGGCAGGGCAAAGAGGGCGACGGCCTAGGGCCCGTCCTGGCTAGGGGCCCATGTCTAAATATGAGTGTTGTATGAGCCAAAGTGGTATTTAAGATTAGTGAATAATTCCATACTAGTATCTACTACTCCTGGTTATCTACATAATACTGATTAGTGAATTAATAAAGATTCTAGATTCAACAATCAAAATTGTATGTATAGATAGATTCTTGTTGATAACCTTTATAATTTTAGGTGCTGAAAAATTGTAATTTTAGTCAAGAATCATTTTTATGGTGCTAAGTAAATAAATGGGAAAAATAAACAAGATCAGTTTAAGTGTTGATATTTTTCTATTTCTAAGAACATATATATGAATTGTTATCAATGGTCATTTCTCTCTATGATTAGATTTGAAAACACACTTTGAAAATGAAGGGGATGTTTAGATTGTAGCCAAAATAAATCTTACCAAATTTTGGCAATACCAAAATTTTGACAATTTAGCAATATTGTAAAGTTTTGGCAGGATTTGGTAAAAAAACTAAATGAATGTATATTTTTGATAACTTTACCAAAAATTGATATGGTTTAAAATGACATCAATCTGAACAACCCAAAAAGTGTGAATATACATGTAACACGTCTCTCTGTAGGGGAGAGAGGGTTAAGGGTCATCTTGTCAAGTTTGCCCTAGGGCCCTCAAAACTGTAGAGCCGGCCCTGGCAGAGGCTGACATGGAGTCGTCGCACCGACGTGGTGAGTAGGAACCACTCGCCACATCAGTGCAGAGATGAACAATACCAGCCCCTATTAAGTGTGGTGTCAAGCGCCACATAGGTTGGGACCATTGCTGAAGAAACTACTTACAGTGCTTGGTAGCTTTAAGTGGCCTCAAATAGTATTTATGTTTTAGCTCCTCTATTTTCCATTCAAGTCATTTTTAAATTTTGTATTTCATTTTCAGTCTTAATTTTACAAAGAAACTCTCAAATGAAAAAATACCATCATATTAACCCCCCAGCTTCCCACCCACTCCTCGTTGTTGTCCGGAGAGATCGGCATAATGCTAACACTAATGACCACCATCATCCTTCTCACCCCGTCATTCTGGCCACCACTGTACCCCACTCCGGCCACCACCGTCCCTCTCTTTCCTTGCGAACTGGACAGCGGTAGTGCAGTTCCATGGCCTCGGTTCGCCACCGTCACCTTTGACCTCGTGGCGAGCTGAGGTTGTCAGTGGTCGAGGATGGCGAGCTCCGTGGCGGCAGGTGAAGCTGTAGTCGGTGGATCTTGTCATGACGGCAGTGGCCTCCACGATCCCACGTGGCAGCAAGGAACCTGGGGTCACAGTGGTGAGAAAGAAGCTGAGGTGGCCCCCGCTGCTCGGCCTAAACCCTACCCCGATGGTGGCCTTCCTGATCCCACCCAACAGTGGAGCCCTCCCGTACTCACCAGCACCATCATGTCCTCAATTTGGCATGGTAGTGCCTCCATTCGTTTCTGCCGGTCATTAGGGGTGGGCGTTTGATTTCCTTGGTTTGGTTTTATTAGTCTTTCGCCTTTTCGGTTTGTGTAAAATGGCAACTGAAACATGATCCAAAAAATATGAAATCAAGGAAAAGAACACCAAATAAAACCGGGTTGGCTTTTTTACTCTCGGTTTTTACCGAAGAGAATCGAATACCTGTTCAAGCTGAGTGGTAGGCCACCGAATCATATAGCTCCTACTCCGCCGCGTTTCGGTGAGCCTCTGCATACGCCTATGCCAAGCAAGCTCCGATGCCTATGACGAGTTTTGACGCCGTTGTTGAGCTCCCGAGCCCACCGCTAACTCCTATACATTTACTTCACCCCAAGCCGATGAGCTCTCGTCCAATCAACGAGCATGCGTGAACCACCGCAGATCCAGATTTGCATTGACGATGAGCTCTCGCACCGTCCCTGCGCCCAATACGTTGTACTTCTGTCGCTGTTATGCTGCAGTTCTGCGCACCTATGCGGCTGTGCCACCGACGTGGATTTGACCTTGTATCGCCGCTGCTGACAATATGAGCCTTAATGCCGCTGCTGTGCATTGGCGGGATGCAGGATTCGAGATTTAGGGTGCATGTGGGAATCAGGAAAAGATTGAAGAGAGAGAGAGGGAGGTGAATATTTCAGTTTATTCAGGAACTTCGGTTCACACCCATAAAAAACCACAGATACAACAAAGGACCGAACAAAAACCAAAATAAAAACCAAAGGTACATCCAAAAACCCACAAAACCGCTACTTGGGAGGTTCGGTGGTCGGTTTCTGTTATTTTTTTTGCCCACCCCTACCGGTCATTATCTTTAAGCAAGATCTGGGTGGTGACAGCTAGATCGATCGAGGCGGCAACCGTTGCTTTAGATCTGGGTATGTTGTTTCTAGCCCTCCTCTTGGCCACTGGATCTTGTTGAGGAGGCGAGGTCAAGGAGTGTTGCGGGGTTTTGGGCAGGCGACTTTTTCTTGCAAACCCACTGTGTCTTGCAAAAGATCGTCCCCCACCTCCCATCTCCTCCACATCAGCATTGCTCCTATAGTGGCACCTGGAACCGCACGTCATATAGGAGCATGGTAAATGGTCTTATCGCTGGGGCAGTGCTTTACCCCCCAGAAAAACAAGCAGTTTCATTCCAAAATACTCCCTCTTTCTAAAAAAACTCAACCTACGAGTTGGATGGTACACAATCTAGTACAACGAATCTGGATAGGCGTCTGTCCAGATACCTTGTACTAGATTGTATCCTATCCAACTCATAGTTTAAGTTTTATTTTTGGATGGAGGGAGTAGTACTAGTACAACACGACAGCTTAAGCGTGTCCCCTGCAAAATGCAGGTGAAAATAATAGTATCCTGGTTGGTTACGGCGTTTGTGTCGACATGCTGCGAAGCTGCGGTGGTTATTCCGTATTCACCCACTGCGGCACTGGATGGGCTGCTTGGGCAGAGAGTACTTAAGCTCCATTCATAATCTACTGGCATTTATCACATTATTATAATTTTTTTAGGGAATTATCACATCCTAGGTTGTATGACAAAAGCACTAATCTGTCATTTTCCCTGTGCATTTTACGGAACACGGTATGTCTTACTGTGTAATTTTTTCGGGACCTAATCTTCAGTGCTATTTACTACTCCTAGCTACCCGGTGTATTATTTGTTTGTTGAATCAAAACAATTGTTTCAGTTTGTCGACAGGACTATATATGCACTACTGCTACCCACCCACCCGACACTACTAGAAAAACCATTTTTCCGAATGTAGGGGTCTTATTTTCGCAGACGGACATAACCCTTAGAGCCAAATGACCGCCTACAAAAATATAAATCAGGGTGAAATTTAATGTCATTTTCGCAGGCGGACTTGATTTTCGCAGGCGCCGGTTAGGTGGTGCGCCTGCGAAAATAGACTTAATATAAATAGACTTGCGTGCCTAATTTTTTTCTAAGTCCCCTCACCTCTCCTCCTCTCCCCTCCCCTCACCTCTCCAGCTATCCTCACCGGCCTCTCCCCTCCCCTCACCTCTCCTCCTTTCCCCTCTCCCCGGCCGCCGGCCGGAGGCGGTGGCGGCTCCCAGCGGCGCGGCGGCATGTGCTCCTGGCGGCGGTGGCGGTGGAGGGCAGCAGCGGCGAGGAGGCGCGGCCGAAGTCCGGGCGGCGGCGACGCGGGCCGGGCGGCGGCGGCTCCCCTTCGCCCTCCCTCCCAGATCTGGCCGGAGGAGGGAGGGGGAACGCCGGCAGCGGCGGCAACAGCGTGGAGCGGCGGCGGCGCGGTCCGAGCGGCGGCGGCGGCTCCCCTCCCCCCTCCCTCCCAGATCTGGCCGGAGGAGGAAGGGGGGAGGCCGGCGGCGGCGGCAACGGCGTGCA